TATGCCTATGTTGTCTCTCCCAGGAGAGTGTTAGTTCCTTTGAAGGCAAAGACTGTTTCATTCTTATTTTTGTCTTTGTTATCATCAGGTATATCACCAGGCCAAGCAAAAAGTGGTAGCCTAACAAATAACTGCTGAACAACTCACTCAAGGTCATTCTGTTCACTGTCTTGGCAAACCTGTGTCCACAAAGAAACTACAAGACCAACAGGAAGGAGTACTCTGGTGTGATGGGGACACTACCTAAGATGTTTCAGGCTATGTACTGTATGGATGCTGTAGTAATTCACCATTCATTGAAAAATGGGTTCTACAGCACACAAGCAGAAAGGATGGGAAGCAGAACAAGAAGATGGTTTCAGAAGGATCTCTGATCCCAGCACAGACTTGCCATTTCTATTTAGGCTAAGTTTTTAAGTCAAGCCTTCACAAATGAGAAAATACATGTACTGACACGGTCATCCTTCTCTACTGTCTCAAATCATTATGTGTTAGGACATAGAACTATAAATGTACAGCTCTGTAAAGACATCCAACACATGAAAAAATTACCTTTTGTAAGACTTAATATATCCAAAGAATTAATCATAGGATTGCTTTCAATAGCAAACTCCCACAATGTTGGAAGGGATAATGTACAAAAATTGGCCTTATATAAGAAATTATATATGTTGTAAAACAAAATATAAGCATTAGGGCGCCCATTTTCCATCTGGACCTAATTCTACAAAAAGCTTAGGAGACGAATCAGTGGCTACTAATGCTATTTGGTTTAACCTGTTGGGATCTAGGTTGACTATTCCAGAGGAAAATGTGAGTGGGTAGATAGAATTTCCTTATTTCAAAAAAAATTCATACCAACATTCTATATCTTTAGAAAGAAAAATCTGGTGGGAAGAGGTCAACAGAATAGACTGATACAATCAGGCACATTTACTTCAATAACTCAAGAGGAATATGTAAACCAAAGCTGGAATAAGTAACACTTCCTTTATTAAGATTATCAATACAAAATATATTAGAGGTAACCTTAATAATCATTTTCTTAGCCCACTGGTCTGCTATAGTTGGTTTTTAAGAAATATTTCTTGGTTGAGCTAATACAAAACTTTTTAAACACCTAGAACCAAAGTTTCAATTGAATTTAATTAGCTTTATTATCTCATTGGCTTTAGCCGCTACTGATTATGACCGCTGAAGTTAGCTACTATAAGTAATCCCTTTTTGCTGAGTGTTCGGCAATTTCTATTTCTGCTTCTTTTTTTTCCCTCAGAAAATATCAACTTTTCTTTTTTCTTTTTTTGCTTTTTGGCTAGGCAATGAGGTTAAATGACTTGCCCAGGGTCACATAGCTAGTAAGTGTCAAGTGTCCGAGGCCAGATTTGAACTCAGGTCCTCCTGACTTCAAGGCTGAAGCTCTGTCCACTGCGCCACCTACTTTTCAAAATTTATAAGGAATTAACTTGAGGACAACAGAAAATAATTTCTTTTGATTTACAATCCTAATAGGAGCCAGATTTTGGTGGGACATTTAATAGAAGTTGGTTGAATTAAAGAGCCTCTTCTACAGGTTTAAAGACTATTACATGACAGAAATGAAAACAAAACAAAACACAATGTATACCAGATAAGTGAACAGGAGAGACAGTTATTGTTTTTCTACTGCATTACCTTGGATTTTTTTGGTTGGTCAAACATTTGAAGTTAATCGTCAAATTTCTTTCTTTCTTTTTTTCCCCCCCAGAGACATGATCTTAGATACACCGGCATGGCAGAAAAAGCTTTGGACTGGAGGCAGCCAGGAGGCACAGTGGATAGAGCACTGGGCCTGGAGTCAAGAAGACCTGAGTTCAAATCTAATTTCAGATACTTACTAGCTGTGTGACCCTAGGCAAGTCATTCAGGTGCATTTGTCTCAGTTTCCTCAACTATAAAATAGATAATAATAGCAACTATTACCTCATATGATCGTTCCGAGAATCAAATGAAGTAATGTTGGTAAAGTAATTAGCACACTGCATAGCATATAGTAGATGCCTAATAAATGATTGTTCTCTTGTAAGGTCCTAGTTCGGAGCCTACTATTTACAAATCAAATGACTTTGGAAGGTCACTTAACTGTTATTAGACTGTGTCCTCATCTACAAAATGAGGGAACTGAATATGAAGACGTCTTACATCCCTATCAGCATTAGGAGCCTGTCTATGGTTCTCCTCTGGTAAAGACGGGGGAAACATTTTAAAAAAAGAAGGTGAAGAAAAACCAAGAATAAATAAAACTTAGGGAAATAAGGGATAATCAAAGAAAACAAAATTGAGACAATAAATGCCACTCTTCTGGAATCTGAAGGAAACACAAAATTCTTTTTCTGATGAACATTCAGCTCCCTAAAAGAAAGGGTGCACGCAGTGCCCCTCACTGGGCAAACTAAGATTCCAGAAGGAGCTTCCTTAGGCTGCACCATCAGATCTTCCACGACACCCAGGAGGACAATGAAGAACAGTCACCTGATTCTAGTATCCCCAAGGTAATACAGGCAGAAATCCTGAGCATTAAGGCACCGCCACTCCATTTCCATTATCTTCACCATTCACATTTTATCAGCAAAATTTGGAGAAAATAATGACTTGGTCATTTATTTCTGGTTGCAGAAGGTCTCTGGTCCGTCTTTTGTCAGAGCTCAGGGCTGGTTAAGTATGCAAGATGCCTTCACTAACCAGCTGATCTGTGCTGAATTAATTTTATACTGAAATGCTTCTTGTGAAGTAACTCTACAGATTTTTCCTGAATAGGCAAACGGCTCTTAAATGATTGATGTAATTGTGTTTTTCATTTTAAACAAAAAAAAAATTTACTAAAAAAAAAAAGTCTCAAAGTAGAATCAGAAATCAAACAGTATAGAAGAAAGCGATCTGGGTACTGGCTAAAAGAGAGAGGAAGGAAAAGAAGGGGGAACAGAATTTATTAAGCTCCTATTATGTGCCAGGCTCTGTGTTAAGTCCTTTACAATCATCATCTCATTTGATCGTCACAACAACCCTGGAAGGTAAGGGCTGTTATCATCCTTATTTTACAGCTGAGGAAACTGAGGCCCAGAGAACAGAAGGTACTTGGTCAGTGTCACCCAGCTGGCAACATTCTAGTCCCTGGCTCTTCTACTTCCTGGCTATGGGACTTAGTCCACATCATTTCTCCTCTGTCTGCCTCAGTTTCCTTCTACATAAAATGAAAAGACTAGACCGGCTGATCTATGTGTTCTCTTTGATGGTATTTTGGTTAATGTTACAAATCTGACCCCAAAGAAGGTAAGCAAGCACAGTCTTTGGTTTACCTCACACCAGCACAAAGCCTCTGTTCTTCACAGTTGTCATATGCTCAAGTTTCCACATTATAAAGACAGATTGTTTAATTTTAATTCTGAGCTAAACTGGGGGCTTTGAAGATAATCCTTGTTAAGGGTGGCACTTGATTTCAATGCCATCATAAAATAATTCTAAGAAATGACATTACTATGCTAGTCTAAGGATCTCTCTTTTGGCCAGCAAGAGCCCACTTTCCACTGATCCCACCTGCAATCCCCCCTGACTCAGCAGACTCTGGAGAGCTGTTGCTGCTGAAGGACTCATCCCACAGCAGTTAGCCCAGTAATGAATCTTCTGAAACTCTAAGCCTTTCCACATTGATAAAACCTAAATTTATACTCTGCTAGTAGAGCCTGGAAGAACCTGGGGTGACTTCTCTAGATCCAAATATGGCATCAGAGCAGGACTTGATGGAGGAAATACTCTTACTAGAAAACTAAAAATCACACGTTCACTACATAAGCTGAAATATCTAGGTTATACCGAACAAAAAAAAAAAACCCAACAAAATTCTCTCTCCAGTTGGCTTTAAAAATTTCATGACATTGTTACATACAGGCATACCTTGTTTTATTGTGCTTCACAGATGTTGTTTTTCCTACAAATTGAAGGTTTGTGGAAACCCTGTGTCGAGCAAGTCTACTGGCCCATTTTTCCAACAGCATGTGTCCACGTTGTGTCCCTGTGTCATGCTTTGGCAATTCTCTCAATATTTCAAACTTTTTCATTATTGTTATATCTCTTGTAGTGATCTGCGATCAGTGATCTTTGATGTTACTATTGATGTTCTGGAGAGCAATAAACCGTACCCATATAAGACGGCAAACTTAATAAACGTGTGTGTTCTGACTGCTCCAACTATCCACTGTTCTCCCATCTCTCTCCCTGTCTTCTGGCCTCCCTATTCCTTGAGACACAACAATATTGAAGAATATTACATAAACTTAGTTGATAAAGCGGTGGCAGGGTTTGAGAGGATTAAAAAAGTTCTACTGTGGGCAAAAGGCTATCAAACAGCATCTCATGCCACAGAGAAATCTTTTGTGAATGGAAGAGTCAATCAACATGGCAAACTTTATTGTTGCCTTATTTGAAGAAATTGTCACAGGTGCCCCAACTTTCAGCAACTACCCTTCTGATTAATCAAGCAGCCATCAACATCGAAGCAAGACCCTCCACCAGCAAAAACATGATGACTCCCTGAAGGCTCAGACAATGGTTAGCATTTTTTAGTAATAAAATAATTAAGGCATGTGCATTGTTTGTTAGACATAATACTATTGCACACTTAATAGACTACAGCATTGTGTAAATATAATTTTTATATGCACTGGGAAAAGAAAAAATCCGTGTGACTTGCTTTATAGTGCTATCCCCTTTACTGCGGTCATCCGCAATACCACTGAGGGATGCCTGTATACATAAAATAAAAAAAAAAAAAAAAAAAAAAATAAAACATTCCCCAGTCATATGATAAATCTGTATTCCCCCTTCCCAACAAGATCACAAGCTTCCAGGGCAGGGGCACTGTTCTGAATTCCCTTTATATTCCCCACATCATTTCATATTATGAATGCCCTCCATAAAGCACCCACTCAGTAAATAATATTGACCAGTATGATTGTGTGATTACTCACAAAATACACTGCTCCAAAGCTCCCATGTCCTATCTCTCTTAGATCAGTAAAGAGCTTCTCTGGATCTTCTTTGAAGAAGAGCTCGGCAATTTCTGGGTCCTTCAGGCTGCCCGCTCGGCTAGTTGATGGCATCCTGCTGGGCAGTCAGCTATCTGACTATCTGGGCTTACACTGCTGTCCCAATCCTTGGCTCATCTGTATGAATGAAGACACTTCTGCATTGACTACTGTAAGAGAGGAAAGAAATTACATGGTAAGGAACAACAATCAATAACCACATAGGACCTTCCCAACATTTGGGTTGAGTACACACCCATCTGATCTTTGCCTTGCTCAGACTCAGACTGGGTACCCAAACCTCCCAGAAGCCTTCCTGGATCCCTGCACTTCTCAGTATTCCTTTCCTCCTTTTAGTACATTGTATTTGCATATATGGTGTACATCCCCCCCCCCCACCCCCTTCAATGTCCCCCACGGGAAGAATGCAAACTCCCTAACAGAACGGTTTGGGTTTTTTATTTGGGGGGGGGGGGGGGGGCCACTGCCTAGGTATAGGTAGCCATAAAATTACCTAGACTATTCTTAAATCCAACAAGTGTGTACATCAATTAACTTAAAACAATGAAATCTCTCTAAATTGATTATCAACAATCTTTTCTTTTTATGATTCAAAAGCCCTTTAAATAATAAGAACCTTGATCTTTTCTCTTACAAAAGGGGGGGAGAGACCCTAATCTTTCATAATTTTCAGTCCATCAGCCAAGTCATATAATGTTCTAAGTAACTAGAATTACTTTTACTTCTTCCTCTATCTACTTTCTATGGTAGGGATGGGGTCTAGAAAGGAATTTCACTGGTAGAAAAAATTCAGGAATGAGGAAATTCCCTCTAATAATGCAGGTTGGCACCTTGTTTGCAGCTTACAGTGTTAGAGAACTGCCCAGCCCACTGAGAGTCTGAATGCCCTGCCCAGGGCCACACAGTAGATGTGTCAAATGCAGCCCAGATCTTGCTAATAACTCTAAGGCCAGCTCTCTATCCACAGTCACATTACCTATGTAAAAATAAAAATTAGCAGAAGTATATCAAATGTAAAAATATTTAAAATACTGCTGTTTATTTTTAAAATTCCTTTGCTAATATGTACTGCTTGTATTCACAAAATAACATGGTATGTCAAAAAGAACGGGGCGGAGCAGCTAGGTGGTACAGTGGGTAGAGCTCCAAGGCCTTGTAGTCAAGAGGACCTAAGTTCAAATCCAGCCTCAGACACTTGACACTTACTAGCTGTGTGACCCTGGGCAAGTCACTTAACTCTGGAAAGAAAGAAAGAAGAAAGAAAGAGAGAAAGAAAGAGAGAAAGAAAGGAATCAAGGCAGCCTGAAATATGGCCCCAACTCTGCCACTACCTGACTGTATGACCTTGGGCAAACTGCTGAATCTCTTGGGATCTCTCCTTCCTCACCTATAAAATCAGGTCCACAAGTGTTCTGAAATGCATATGAAGAAAAGGTCATGGGGCAGCTAGGTGGCGCAGCAGATAGAGCTCTGGCCCTGAAGTCAGGAGGACCTGAGTTCAAATCTGACCTCACACCAAACACTTGACACTAGCTGTGTGACCCTGGGCAAGTTACTTAACCCCAATTTCCCCCCAAAAAAAACAAAAGAAAAGAAAAGAAAAGGTCATCAAATCCCATCCCTCCAGATGAAGAAATTGAAGCAAAGAGACCGGGGATAAATTGCCCAGTTATCATTCTGTGACTATTTAAAATGACATTCTCTGTCACCCAGCACTCCACCTAAAACCTTCTGGTTCTTGAAAAATCCAGCCTTTAACAATTATTTAAAAATTGAATTGCCTCAAAATCAGCTACAATTGGAGTTTTCTAACCAGTTCCTATCAAACATTCGCCTCAGCCATGCACATTTTTCCGTCTAAATTCAAAAGCAATCTTATCCAAAGCCATTTTACTTCTTTTCTTCCTGTTTTTCTCTGGACAAGGTGTTTATTGTATTATAAATATGGATGGTTTCAGTCTCCATAAGATTTCCAAATTAACTGTGAAGAAAAAATTGAAAGATCTAAGCAAACCTACCCTAATTCAATTTTTATTATCATGATCTCCACTCTAGCCTTGTGTTTGAAACACACAAGAATATTTCTAAGGACCTCAATGGGCAGAGCAAAAATGTTACACACCCTTTTCTAAAACTGTATTTTACTTTTTTCCTATCTGCACACAGTGGCCATCTTTTGGGAGGGCAGTAGAAGCAATGTCCAAAAGATAGAGAATTAACTGCAGCCACTAAATATTTGGGCCACTCATTCTAGTAGCTAACACAATCAGCTCTAACACCCTTCAGTTTCTGATTCCTGACTCCCCCAGTGGAAGACTCCCAAAGACAAGCACAGTGAAAGAAGCACTGCCAAGACTGCACTCGGGCAGAACGCTGCTGCAACGATGGCGAAACTCGGAGACGGACAAAGGCACTTGAAGATCATTCAGTTTAAACAGCTGCCACAGCCCACTGGCGGAAAAGCGCTCCTGTGAAGGAGCTTTCAGGACAAAGTTAACTATAAACTCCATAATCATCTTTCCTTTCACATGAAGGGGAGGGGAGAAGCACAACTTTAGAAAATATAGCGCCATTACAGCCTAAAACCCTCAAGTCAGAGGCTTGGCTACAGAATGGAAGCATCTGAATCTGATCTGAAAGGCATATTATGGCACATGCAAACTTCTACATAACTAACACAAGCTATTAAGATATATATTATTTCAAATACTTAATATGCAGTGGGCCAAAAGCCATTAGTTAAGTACAGCATTACTTTATTCTAAGAGGGAATAGGAAAGGAGAATTAATCCACCTGGAATTATTAAAGAAACATCATAAGTAGAAGTAGAAATTTTAAGCCTATACTGAATTTCTCTTGTGGCAGAAAATAGGAACGGTCAACAACAAAGGACATTTTTAAAAACTGGGCAAAAGCTGGATAGTTCTGTCAATACCTGAGTAATTCACCTTTAAGAAAACCAGTTGAAGTAAGTTGGGAGGGGGGAGAGAACAACTGTTATTCATCTCAGATCAAAATAATGAATAAATAGGTGTTTTAACTTTAAAAAAAAGGCAACTGTTTCACATTTACAGCATGAAGCCTAACAATGGACAATAACATCAGTCAAATGCAATTGAAAGGAGATGGGGGAAGGGAACTAATAATCAGAGTGCACTCAGTATGACTAGAGGAATGCTTCTTGGATCAGCAGTAATGATGTCATGTTGTTCATCTTTAAGAAGCATCAAACTCTTACAAAAAGGACATTGTTGTTCAAAAGCAACTGCTTCAATCCCACAATGCCTTGTTCCCTACATCTGTTAATCAGACAGAATCCAGCCTTGGAATCAGTCATGATCACAAATTATAATATCCTTGAAAGGGAAAAAAAAATCACTCACTCCCAAAGATAAAGTTGTCCCTCATTTTCTGACTTTGTATAAGCCCTTGAAAATGGACCAAGAAGCCACGATTTTTACCAATACAGAAATGAATAGGTATCTAGCTTACCAGCAAGCATTAATAATGTGATTTACTGCTTTGTTTCACCAGATTTCAAATGACAAAGGAAAGTTAATTTCTACTACCAAAAAAAAAAAAAGACCTTGAAGGGCTAATTCGTCATAATTTAAAATGTACTGAATGACTCTTCTCAATTACAATTTGTACATAATGTACAAATACAAACATACCTTCTGAACATATCAATTGTATTAAACAACTAAATACTGCATACTAATACAGTGAAGAGTTATCCTGGACTCCTCATTTTCACTCATCTCATATCCAATCAATAGTCAATTATTTAAAAATTGAATTGTCTCAAAGTGAGTTGCAATTACAGTTTTCTAATAAGTTCCTATCAAATATTCACTTCATCCATGCATGTAATTTCTATTTCCACAATATGTCTGATCTACTGCCATCTCTTTACTCACACTGGGCCATTCTAGTTGAGGCCTTCATCACTTTCCATCTAGACCAGGGATGGGGAACTTGCAGCCTCGAAGCCACATGTGGCTCTCTAGGTCCTCAAGTGCAGCCCTCTGACTGAATTCAAACTTGATTTGTTCTGTGAAGTTTAGATTCAGTTAAAGGGCCACACTTGAGGACCTAGAGGACGACATGTGGCCTCAAGGCTGCAGGCTCCCCACACCTGACCTCAACTATTCCAACAGCATCCTAACTCATCCCCTCTCTTAATCCAACCTTCCCACAACTGCCAAAGTGACTTTCTTAACAGAAAGGTCTGACCATGCCCCACTCTCTATGCAGTGAACTACGAAGGCCCCTTACTGCCTTGAGGATCAAATACTAAAAGTCTGTCCCTTTACAGGTTAATCCCAACCTACCTTTCCAGGATTACTATATGTGATTCTCCCTTAAGTCCTCAAATATATTAGACTATAGTCTAATAAGCCTTTAAATTTTGTTCCTGTTCCATCTCCATGCCTTTGCATTGGCTGTTGTACCCTGCCCCCATGCTTGAAACGCATTCTCTCTTCACCTCTGTCTCCCGGAATCCTTGTATTCCTTCAAAACCCATCCTAACAGCCACCTTCTGCATGAGGCCTTTCCTGGCCTTCTCAGCTGCTAATGTGTTAATGCCCTCCTCTCATTATCTTACATTTAGTTTATATGTACTTATACATTTACATGGCGTCTCCCCAAGAAGAACACATAAGCTTCTTGAGGACAAGGGCTATTCCACTTTTGTTTTCATAACCCCAATATCTAACATGACACCTGGCACCTAACAAATGCTTGGTTAATGACAAAAAATCCTATTTCAGGACTTCAAAAGATCTAGATTTCATCAGTAAGGGAAAGCTCCATGTTTTCTGGGTTTCTGTGGCCAAAAAGTCATCTCCTCAAAGTCAACTTTCGGGAGCCTTTCCAAACTTAGCTAGGCGGGTCTTTTGCCGAAAAACAGTCTGTGGATGGACCAATCCTCAACTTGGTAGGACCTTTCATCTGAATTTGTGCTGTCAGCAAAAGAGAATTCTGGGTCAATTCTATTTCTCAATGCACAAGAATAGGACTTTGTTGGAAGATGCCTACCAGAATCAGTGAAGTATATTCTTCATAATACAATTCTAATAACCAAACTGTGATCACATGCTATCAATTTTGCTAGAGTCATGAAACTGGGTAGTTTTTGCAGAG